ATTTACAGGTATAATGTGGTAAAGTACAAATGTCTCAGCACTTCTTAAATGGTCTAAAAGTATTTGAATTTTTATAGCAAAATCCTACTTGCTCTTTCCATTCAGTGCAATTGTACCAATTAACTTTCAAAAATTCCTTATGTGGAACTAGATCATGCTGAATTCCTGGAAATATAATTGAGATATAAAAAGTTCAGTGTCATCAAGATAGAATTACCTGGATGTATTAACCTGGTTCTGACAACCTCAGAATAGTGGCAAAGATAGGCCAGATTTCTGCCTGTCTTTTTCTCCCTTCTTCCCTTCCGTGCCCCTTCCGTGCCCCATCCATCCATCCATCCATCCATCCATCCATCCATCCATCCATCCATCCATCCATCATTTTAATTAACCTCTTCCAAATACTTATGTATGCAAATAATGAGGCAAAACATTATGCATGACAATCATGGAGATTGTTTTTTAAATTTATTTTTCAGTTGCAGTTAACATATAAGTTTGTATTAGTTTAAGGTGTACATCATAGTAAAGCTTGTTAAATAAGGAAGCATGAATCTCGGGATGGGAGAAATAGGAGTCTGCATATTAAATAGGCTTAAAAATACTTGACTCTGATTAAAGTGGTTCAGAGAGTGTCCTTCCAGTAACACTGAAATAAAAGCAAAGCATAGTACTACTTTGGCCAGTGAAATTTGAGAGTGTGGTTACCTAGTACTCATTTCATATGGACTCATAAGTGGAAGAAACCTACATATTTAAGGTTGTAGAAGATTATAGGCACAGGCACAGTCCTGTTCCTTTTAGGATTGTATTGCATTTGCATTTCTAGAAGCACAAAAGGCCATCCTGGTTACAGCTACCCCTTCAAAACAAAAACATCATTTTAGGAGTAAGCGAAGGTTAGTTATTAGTTATGTCGAATCTATGATACATATGTTGCTAATCCTTTTGATTTGACTTTAAACTGATTTTAAGGTTTTTTTTTAATCTTTACCCGAAAGTATTTTTTCCAATGCTTTTCAGAGAGAGAGAGAGAGAGAGAGAGAGAGAAACATCAATGTGAGAGAGACACATTGATTGGTTGCCTCCCGCATGGTCCTCAACCAGGGCTGGGGATCAAGCCTATACCCGAGGTACATGCCCTTGGCTGGAATCGAACCCAGGGCCAATGTTGTAACCTCTGAGCCAAACCGTCTAGGGCTGATTTTAGGCTTTTAAAAGTCTGTTTTCCTCCCTGTCAAGAATGAGGCGTTTGAAGTGTCAAGTGTCTTTTTGTGGCTGGGAAATAATGATTTCTTGAAAAGACTCTGCCAGGGATTCTCATCTGAATCACCAAAGAGCCTATCAGAAGCATTTTCTCCTGGTTTAGATAGTAGATCAGCATCTCACTGAGAAGCAGTCGTAAAGTGCTCAAAGGAATTCCACTGTAGCCAGCCGGGCCCCCTGCCTGGGAGATAGTTCCATGAGCTTCTTTGAGGAAATATGTGTTCAGATGACTTGCGTTTCATGTTCTTCTTTCTGCTCCATACAGTTTTGCTCATAGAATTCACTGAATCTTCTTTTATTTGGTGTTTGATGAGAATGGCGAACATCAAGGTTTTCTTGAGGCTCTAATTGAATGTTTTGTTGTTATTGTCATCCCCAGGATGGAAAGAAGAAGTTCGACAAGGAGAGTGAAAAATACTATTCCATTCTTGACAAACACTTAAATTTGTCTGCAAAGAAAAAAGAGTCTCATTTACAAGAGGTAAGCTTTTCCGATTGAAAAAAGGGCATTAGCATTAAGTCATGTGAAGTCCAAATTTCCAAACGTAGAAGCATCTCAGAATCTGCTACTCTTTAATAAGAAAAAAAAAGAATAGTTAAGTTAACTGGGTATTTACAATGGACGGGCACTGTACTGAACATTTTACATCCCTTATGACATTTAATATTAACAGTTCCAAATGACAGATTAGTATTTCCTTCAACAGTGAGAAAGAATGAAACAAAACTTTTTCATTTTCTTCTGTTGGGCATATTTTAAATGGCAGGACCTACCAAATTCATGTTATAGCTTTTATGTTAAGTTGAAAATGTTTTTAAGGCATTGCCTCTGCATTAGGGGAAAAAAAGATTTGCAATTACACATTTTAAAATATCCATTATTTTATATCGATTTTATTAAAGAACAAGGCAACAGAAATATTTTACTAACATGTATGCATATGAGCAGTCCAATCCTTCTTTCTTTCTGAAATACCTGTCCTTTTCATTGGTAGTTGTTTTAACTAGAATTGGTAAAATCTTGCTTTTGCTGTTTTTGGTTTTGGTTTGAGATTCAAAAAATCAACCAAGACCTATGTCAAGAAGCTTATCACCTACATTTTCTTCTAGGCATTTTATGGTTCCAGGTCTTATGTTCAAGTCTTTAATTTATTTGAGTTAATTTTTGATATGGTATAAGATAGTGGTTGAGTTTCACTCTTTTGCATCTGGCTGTCCAACTTTCCCAACACTATTCATTGATGACATTGTTCTTTCCACAGTGTATATTCTTGGCTCCTTTTTCATAAATTTATTGACCACTTATGCATGGGTTTGTTTCTGGGATCTCTGTTCTGTTCCATTGGTCTGTTTGTCTGTTTTTATGACAATACCATACTGTTTTACATACTATAGCTTTGTAATATAATTTGAAAATTGGGAACATGATACCTTCAGTTTTGGTCTTTCTCAAGATTGCTTTGACTGTCTGGGATTTTTTGTACTTCCATACAAATTTAATATTATATTCATCTGTTTCAAATTTTTTCAGTGCTCACATTTCTCTAAACATTGCACTAGAATAAACCCAAGAAAGACTGCAGTATTTAGGTGAAGTAATGTGTAGAAACGCTTGTGTAATTACCACCCATACACCATATGCTGTGCCAAGTGCTGTGGCCAGGTGCCATTTTAAAAATTGCCTCGAAATCAAGGATGGCTTTTAGCGTCTCCAAAGGGTTATAGGTTCACCAGGTTCTTGTGAATATGCAAGGCCACTCTTTTACAGGATATTGCTTAAATCATCAAGCAAGTGCTAACTTGATTCCAATTTAATGTCCTCTAGAGGCTATGCTTTAATTTTCCCTGACAACCTAGCTCAACATTTAATACTTTGCTTGTTAGTGGCCCTCAGTCCTTTAGGCTGTGGTAGAATAAAATAATCCATTCTGGTTCTCTATTTAGTTGGAGGCTGGGAAAACCTGTAACATGGTTAACAACAACCTCCACTTGCCCCACTCCACACATGCACCCACACACATGCACGTATTTCTTTTCCAGGAGGCACAGCCCCACAACACAACACAGTTGTGTCATAGCAGCAACTCAGAGCACATAATGTAGTCAAGGAAAAATGTGGCTTGGGTTTTTTTTTCTCGACACTTCCAGTAATCAAGTCTCTTATAGGGAGACTTCACACGTGTATTTAGTTTTGTAACATGGCACTAAAAGTCATCTGTTCCTTTCTAGAGCATCTCTTGTCCTTCTGTCAGCACCAGACTTATTACATTGCTCTCAGAAAAACCCACTCTGTGCCTTCTCATCTGACTCCTTGTTCATTTTGATCATGGAAAATCAGTGGCTGCCCATTTCCAGGACTGAACCAGGGTTCAGCTTGTGTTGATAAAGCTCCAAGACCATCATCAGATGGATCACTGGAATAAACAGAATTGGAAATTGACTTGTCAAAATTATAGACTTTACAGTACATGAAAAGAAGTTATATTTAATATGTGAATGGGTAATTTTGAAACATAAAATAAGAGGAAGAGATCATAAAGGAAATGTGAAAAGATCAGAATGCATAAAAATGTCTATTTCATAAGACATTAAGTCAAATTAAAAGGCAAAGTGTCAGGGAATTTATAGAGCATATGACATAGGGTTACCATTACTTATACACAAGATGCATTTGCAAATCAGCGTGATAAAGGTAGTCTTCAGTTGAAGCAGTGGGCTAAGAATATGAATGGTCATTTCATCAAAGAAGAAGTATAAACCGGAGTGAATATTGTTAAGTTTCAGTGTCACATGTATTCAAATACAATGCAGTTTAATAATAGCAGAAGAATGTTAGTTTCATTTATGAAAAGACATCCACTGTTAGTGATAATATGGGAAACTGAGCACATTTTTGCTTCCCTGGTAGAAACAGAATCTTTCAATCATTCTTGGGGTAAATTTGATGACATATTTCAACAAATTTGAAATGTATAAGATAGTTGAAATGATTTCTGTTGACAGGAATTTACCCAAGAGAAATAGTCAGGAATGAGCATAAAAATAAATTGTGGTGTTGATGCAAGGTAACTGTTGCAATGCAAAAATTTAGAAAACATCTGAAATGGCACAAAAGAATGATTGGGGTAAATATACACATACAGCTTAATGAAAAATGAAATGTGATATGACTGTGAAAAATTTTATTGGGAACAATTGTTTAAAGACATTCGGAAATATTCATTAGGTTAAGTGGAAAAACAAAGTTTAAACTGGAATGTATGCACAGTATTAATCAGGTTTGATTAAAGTAACTGTGTGTGTGTGTGTGTGTGTGTGTGTGTCACACATCAAATTATTAACAGTGGAAATGCAGTTCTTATTTTTAGATTTCTCTGTTATGGTAATGAGTAATAAATAAACTTATATAGTGAATGCATAATATTTTTATAATTAGGAGGAAAGAAATCCTTCTGAAAACCCAGCTCTTAGGTTTGCACGCATTGCTAAATACGCTTTGAACAGGTTCCTCTTATCCCTGCCTCCTCGATGAGGGAATCCCTTAGTTCCTACTCTTGTACCTTCGTTCTTATCTTAAGTTTGCGTCCCCGATGCCTCTCCTGTTTCCATAAAGTCTGTACCATCCCGATGAGCGTCTCTGGTCATGGTTTCATCACACCTGCCCGCTGCCCGAGACCTGAACCGCTCCTTAGCGGCCCATTCAAATCTCATGCATCAGTGTTTTCTCAGATTGGCTCCTGCTTCTCACTTCTTTAATTCTGTTCATGCTGGCATTTCTCTTATCAAAATTACCTTTGACTTCTTTGCCCTTGTTTCTGACACCCACACCCTTGTTTCTCAGGTCCGTCAGCTTCTGTTTCTCACTCAGATGCCCCGAACACCTTCCCGCTTCCTGAGGGAGAGGCCTCCTGGCATTCACGGGCCTCGGCGACCCCAGAGTCAGTATCTTGATTCTCTCCCTCCCTCACGTTAATCTTCTCGAAATTCTGCTTTGACCTTGTCAGCACCTTCCTCAAGCTTTTGCAGTGTCGATGGGATGAAGTTTGTACCCATTCTCTTTTCTGCCTTAACTCTCATTTCTGGCTGTTTCAGACAAAACCTTTTGATCTGCCAAAACGTAACTTTTCTGGATTCTGTTCCCTCACTCGGACTCTTTTATTTCCACCTGCTCTAAACCTCCCGATTCTTCAGTCCAGCTTAAATCTTTTTTTTCCCTCTGGGAATGAGGGTTTTTTTCTCTATTTTGAATTGAGATAGCTTATTGTTAGAGGGGAATAATTTAGGCTTCTGCAGAACTATATGCTTTTCTTATGTAATTAACTTGGTTTTTTACTAGGATGACTTTACAGTCCTCTTTGTCATGTAAACAAAAGTTTATACCTGTTGTTCTGGCATAATTGTTACTGGTGCTCCCTTTCAGTTTAAAAAGTTCGAACTAAATTACATGGTTATCCTACTTAACGCAGTACAAAATACACAGCAACGCTTGCTAGTGGGTGTATAAGCAACTCCCTGCCCGTGAACCACACTATAGGAGTTTAAGTACTAATGGGATTCATCGCAAGTAAAGAATGTCTTTCAGAAAAAAAAATCTTGTACTAAAAAGAAACTAAACTGTTGTATTTTTAAAGCACTGTACGTTATAGATGGCTTTTCAAAGCAGGCTTGGTATATCAAATTCATCTAGATTAGAGGCGATGGGAATTTAAAGCAGATTTAGTCTAGTGAATTCTTTCAGATTGGAGGTGATGGGAAATATCTATCACTGGCAATGGTAAGAATCATCGTTTCTCTTTTATTCTTCTGTGTGTCCCTGCACCCCATTGATGAGAAGGGATTGGGCATGGCAAATAAGTTTCTGAGGAAATCACTTAACACTCCCAGATTTGGTGGTTTATTGTAGTGAAAAGGTATAAAGAAAAATCAGCAAAGGATGCATAGGGTGAAGTCTTGGGTAAGCAAGGCATAAGCTTCCAAGAGTCTTTTCCCAGTGAAGACACACAGTACGCAACTAATTCTCCCAATAAGTTATTGGGGGGGGGGGTGTAGGGTGGGTGGAATGTGGAATGTCTATTAGAAACTCATTATAGACTGAATGTCCATGGTTTTTACTGGGAGGTGGTCACATAGGCACCTTCTGCTTGTCGTGTGCCCAAATTCCAGAATCCCAGAAGGAAAGCAGGTGTTCAAAATAAACCATATTGTTTGCACAAATAGTTTTGGCGTAGTGAACTGCTCTTATCAATTAGAGTGGTGGGAACTCTCCCAAAATCAACATTCCCAGATGCAACCAAACGCCTCGTAAGCAGGCCTCTCAGTGGATAGCCTGCTGTGCTCTTTTCTGCACAGCTTTGTTGACCAGAAGTAATCGTGTACGTTATAAAGATGGCTCAACATTTTAGCTTGTTCCCATGCTCTAGTCAACACAATCAATGACGTTATCTTTTAAAGTAAATAAAACCAGAAGTAACTTGTGGAATAAAATATTATCTCTGAGCTCTCTCTCAGAAAGAAAGCTCTCTCATCTCTTTCTAACTCCTTCATTCACTGATGTGGGCTTGTGGTTTGGAACTGGCTGTTTGGGGAATATTTACACCACAGAAACCAGCCAATTCTGCAAATCCGGCTTCCCCCCTCAAGAGCCAGCTGCTAAACATTTATTAGCATACCACTAACTATACCTCCTTACCATTCCTTCTATAAATAGTGTAGCCTTGCAAGCAGTGGGAAGAAAATGCATGATTTGTGTAGAATGCTGATTGCCTTTGTGTTGACATGATTATTTTCTCTTGTTTAGAAATTATCTTTGGGAGCTTGGAAGCTTCTGGTTCGCATTTCCTACCTGATTTATACGTTCTTTTCGTGTATTAGTTTACAAACTTGGAACTCTCAACTTTAAAAAGTCCCTATTGAGTTGCTTGTAATATTGGGTTATTTTTAATTACATGAATAAATGCATAGTAAGTATATAGAATCATTTTTAAAGGCATTTCAAATGCAGTTTTAAGATGCTGTGATGTCCAAGCCAGCAAACCCTAATTTTATCTTTTTTTCAAGCTCCTGTTTGTGAAATTATCATTGTAAAATGGCTCACAGCCATATTCTATTCCCAAATTGTTGTTGGCAGATAACTCTGTATTCCAGAGAGCCCCCCCCCCTTTTTTTTTCATCTTCTTTTAGTAATCTTAGCTGGCAGCGAGGAGTGTGTAACTGGGCAAGAAAAGTAAAATCATGCCTCTCTGTTGTTTTTTGAATTAATTTTTTTTAGAGAGGGGGAAAGAGAGCGGGGAGAGAGAGAGAAAGAGAGAGAGATCAGTGTGAGAGAAATACGTCAATCACTTGCCTCCTCTATGTGCCCTGACCAGGGATTGAATCTAAAACCTAGATATGTGGCCTGACTGGGAATCGAACCCATGGCCTTCCTGTACACGTGACGACACTCCAACCAACTGAGCCACACCGGCCAGCGCACGCCTCTCTGTTAAATTGAAATCTGTTTAAAAGAGGGCATCCGAGCATGGTAGTGGGCACAGAAGAGGGGAGAGAGGCAATGTCAAAAAGAAAATGAAATTATCTCACTAGCACTTTTCCCACACTTTATCAATAGAATCTTCCTGTGGTTGTGTGGAATAAATGCGCATAGCATTGATGGAGCATGAAATCATTAGGTTAGAACCGTGGACATTTTTTGGCTCTGCTACCAGTATTATCTTTCTAGGGCATTGCCTAATGATGTGGCTCGCTGGTTGATATTCCGAGATAATTCTTCTGCAGGAAAAAATCCAAATTTGCTATGCAGTGCTCAAGATCTTTTACAGTGTGATGTTGACCTGACTTCTCCCTCCTTCCCTCCACTTATTTACTCTTTTGACAAACTCTTTCATGCCTCTTTGCTTTTTTATGGGAGTAACTCTCTTTTTTTTAATCTTTGACAACTCACTGCCGGTTGTTCATTTTAAAATTCAACTCAGCCTGTCTGGTGTGGCTCAGTCGGTTGAGCGTCGACCCATGCACCAGGAGGCTGCAGGTTCCATTCCCGGTCAGGGCACATGCCCGGGCTGCTGGCTCAGTCCCCGGTAGGGGGCGTGCAGGAGCAGCCAGTTGATGTTTCTCTCTCTCTCTTCCTCTCTCTGAAATCAATAAAAACATTTAAAAAAATTCAACTGAAACCATAACCATTTTCTCCTAGAACTTGTGTCTTTTTCTGTAATCCCGTAGATTTTTCAAATACATTTATATACCTCTGTTGTATGCTTATTCTGTGTCTTTTTTCCCTCCTACCCCATATACTATAAGCTCTTTTGGGCAAGGACTGTTTTGCTATTCTCTGTATTCCTGGGACATAATAATAATTGCTATATTAAAACTCTTGGCAGGGCTTAATTTTTAACAAAGATTTCAGAATAGAACAGGGTTTGAGCCCCTCTCTGACATAGAACCGTCAGTTATTACTCCCTGTGTCACGATTTGCCTTTTTATGCTCTTTAGGCAGATACACAACTTGACCGAGAACATCAGAACTTCTACGAAGCGTCACTAGAATATGTCTTTAAAATTCAAGAAGTTCAAGAAAAAAAGAAGTTTGAGTTTGTTGAACCGGTAAGTTTTAATTTCCCCATAAAATAGTGAGTCTGGTATATCCCATGGGGGGAAAAAAAGTGTTTTTCTGTTGAAAATTATGATTTTTAAAAATAAAAAGGGAGGGAGGAGTTGGGGGGCAAATAGGTGGAGCACAGGGCACTTCTAGGGCAGTGAAACTTGTGTATGATACTCTCATGTTGGACACATGTCATTCATTGTGAAACCCCGTAGAATGTACAACACAGAGTGAATCCTAATGTAAACTGCGGACTTCCGTGAATAATGATGTATCGGTGCTGGATTATCATTTGTAACATGTTCCTCACTAACACAGGAGGGCAATAACAGGGAAACCTGCGTGTGGGTGGGGCTAAGGGAGTATCTGGGAACTCTAATTTCTACTCCATTTTTCTGTAAATCTGAAACTACTCTAAAAATACGCTACTGATATGAAAAATTAAAAATAAAAGGGTGTATATGACACATACCTAAGCAAGCACACGTCACCACGAAAGTGACCCATTTCCCAAAGCTTCAGGGGAAGCGAGGGAACGAGGCTGCATTTCTCCCTTTGTTCCACCCCACTTCCTTGCAAGGCTGGGACCTGTCTGACTTTCCAATGAAGTCATTTATTTTCCTAACTCGGTGTAAAAAGTAATGGATTCCCCAGTGTAAACCGCATTACAGAAAAGAACAGGTGGCTGGTCTTTATAGGCTTACTTCATTTTCTTGGCATTTTCTTCCCAAGTGAGTCCCTGATATGTTACAGTATTGGCTACATAGGCGTATTCACGGGGCATCACCTGTGCTGAATACAGGTAAGTTCTGTGGTCAAAAGAGTCTTCTGCTAGAATATGGTGCTCAGTCCCGTGAGATGGGAGGATGCTGATAGTGAAATATGTAAGTAATCAGATATGTAATTTAAGCCGTACTTTTCTGCCTATATTAGTTTGTAAAAAATCTATTTATAATAAGAAAATACCCTCTTCCTATTTTGGTGGAAGTGATGATGGTAAAGGGAAAGAAAAACACATTTGATAATATTTTTGCCAAAATTTATTTCCTGATGGAGTCCCTTCTGTGATTCCCTAAAGATGATGGAAACTGAGACAGAGCGGAGGCCGGGCAGGGTCTTGGGCCCTTGCCTGGCTCAGCACCTCCGCCTCACTGCCCCCTTCAGCGGGAGCCACCCGACTCCCTCCTATAACTGGGCGCGGGGCAGGTTTCTAGGACCAGCCCTTCAGCCAGAGGGATTCAAGGGACTGAAGCCACACACGCAGGCTCAGGGAATTAACTTTTACCTTTTTTTGGGGATAGCAGCTTTCACTTCAAGCTCTGTTTGTCAAACAGCTCAGTCCTTAAACCCCTTGCGGTGAATTGGTGACCTCTGTTTAGGAGATGTGATGAGGACCTGATGAAGCTTTTTTTAGTTGGCCTTCTGAAGCTCATCTGGGGTTCATGGTTAAGCTGGTCAGCCTACTAACCCCTAATCTGGGGAGATAACCAGTACTTAGCATTACTACTCCCCTTCTCATGGACCAGGTTCTGCCTCCAAATCCCACCAGGGTTTTGGAAGCTTCTCTCCTCACTGGGAGACTTCCTCCTGAGGGCAAACCTCTTGGGATTTCTGAATTTTAGCTCTTCTTGACAGTCAGCTGTTCGAATACCCCCATTAGTTCTGACAGTTTGCCTTCCTACTTCTTCCTTCCCTGTTCCCATTCCTGCACTGTTCTCCCTCACACCTGGAATGATCCTTTTACACCTGTAATAATCCTTGAACATCTGGAATACCTCTCCCGCTTCTGAGGGGCACGCAGAGAGCCCGTTTTCCCAAGCCTCTTTTCATGGCCCATCCTGTCTGGGGACAGTTAGCTAGACCATTCTGTCATATGACATCAGGTCTATAAGGAGAGGACTGTAAAATCATTTGCTCACAGGTGACAGAAGGAATGATAAGAATTTATGAATTCCTGGGATAATACATGTAGCAAAGTGGAAACTGTCCTTCAGTTGAAATGTGTTTCTTCTCTCTACGGAATCCCAAACTGGAATGGTTTGAAAAGTCTTTGTAACACATGCCTTTCTTGTGACACCACAGTTATAATCGATGTTTAAATCTGTCTTTCTTCCAAACTATTTTCTTGGCTGCTGTATTTTTCCTATTAGAATGTCTGGCCAAACCAAATAGTACTGTCAGTTTAGTCTCATTTTTATTTCTAGCCACGGAGTCTCTTCTGTGGGGTTTTACTTAATTTCCATTTCAATAATGAGTAGAGTAGAATGGGAGCAGTGAAACCTGGGCATTTGCTCTTTAGGTTATGCATTTACAAATTAATTGGGAGGAAAAAAGTTTTTAAAATTTCAAAAACAAAGCTCCCAGGAGCGATGAATATAAAAACATATGAGGATACTGTAATACTTTTGCAGTTTTTATTCTGCAGAAATCCAATTCCTGTTGCACCACTGTTTCATATTGCAGAAATCTAGCAGTCTATTCTAGTTTAGCCCAGATTTATTTAACAAGTATTAGAGTAAAGCAAAATACCCTAGGGATGTGACTTATCTCGAGATGGTAAGATGTCAAGTAGATAATATAAATAGTCCTGGTGATTCGTGTTAAACACATTCTTTATGATGATTTTTTGAGATATTTTACATTGTTTCAATTAATATCAAGATCCCACTACTTATGATAAAACATGTACAGAATATTTAGGTGGTGTTAGAAATAAATATTCCTACAGGGTCATTATTTCAAGAAAAACCTTGGGGAAAATGCTAAAACATGGGGAAAAGGGTACAGGTACATATTTTAAATAATAAACTGTATTATTTTTAAAGTATACAGTAAATTAGCTTTTGAAACTCAATTTAACTGTATAATTTTAATGACAATCTTTTCTTCCAGTTTATCACATTTTATATAGAAAGTAGTTGTAGCTGTCTGGTAATCTCTAGACCTGCACTGTTAAGTATGGTAGCAACTATCCATGTATGTTATAGAGCATTTGAAATGAGGCTGGGCCCTGGCCAAGTAGCTCAGTCGGTTAGAGAGTCAACCTAATATGCCAAGGTTGTGGACTGGATCTCTGGTCAGGGCACCTACATACAAGAATCAACCAGTGAATACATAAATAAATGGAACAACAGATTGATGTTTCTCCCTCCCCACTGCGAGTCAATAGAGTTTTTAAAAAGGAAAAAAAAGAAATGAGGCTTGTCTAGATTAAGATGCACTGTTAAGTGTGAATACTATTAGATTGCAAAGGTTTAGTACAAGAAGAAGTTATCTCATTAAGGCCTCTTTTATATTGATTACATGTTGAAATAATAGTATTTTGGACATCTCGTATTAAATAAAATTAATTTCATGTGGTTTAAATTTTTTTAAAATGTGGCCACTGGGACATTTTAAATTTCCCATTTGAGGTTCACGTGACGTTTCTGTTGAACAATGCTAGACCTCCTATGCTCAGATTTGCCAACAGGATATATGAATTCAGGCCTGTAGCGGGGGCAGAGAGATCAGAGAGGAAAAACATCACCTCCTGACTTCATTGTACCATCCTGTTACTTCTCAGAGTTGCCTGGAGTTTATGAGAATTTTGAGGAATCAGGGAAGAAAGCTTGAGAAGTGACCTCAACATGAGCAGCTTCCATAAGAGAGTTGAGCCTTCATCTATCAGAAGTATATTATGGTGCATGAAGTTTTTTTTATTAGGTTTTGATACACACACATTTCCACTCAATAAACTTCTCAGAACATCTGTGTATTAGAGTTAAAGTGCTTCATAGTCATTTTGAGGCTATCCTCTAAGATATTTATCTCTTAAGTTTTCTCCAAGTAAAGAACAGCACAGACTAACAGGCTTAACTCACAGGCCTGACACTCGTGAGAATTGATGCCTTGCCTTTGCCCTACTTTCCTTTCTCAGGGTTTTCAGCAGCTAAAGGTAGAGAGCTCCATAAGATTTTTCTTTTCTATTAGTGCATTCTGATGCTCTGTGTATGGGAAGTGTTTATTTCTATTTTATTTAAAAACAGTTTTATTGGTATGTAATTCACATATCATACAATGCACCCATTTTTAGTTAATTTTTGTCAGTGGTGTGAAGTAGGCGTCCAACTTCATTCTTTTACATGAATCTATTCAGTGGTTGAAAAGATTATTCTTTATTTATTTTATTGTCTTGGAACCCTCATTGAAAATAAGTTGACCATAGGTATGTGGGTTTATTGCTAGACTCTTTCAATTCTCTTTCATTGTTTTATAGGACTGTCATTGAGCTAGCATCACACTGTTGATTACTATTGCCTTGTATTAAGTTCTGAAATCAAGACGTGTGGGACTACTTTGTCATCTTTTTCAAGATTATTTTGACTCTAATTGCTATTCCATATGAGTTTTAGACTCAGCTTTTCCATTATTTTAAAGAAGTCAGCTGGGCTTCTTACAGGGATTTCATCGCGTCCACACATCAGTTCAGGGAGTGCTGCCTTCTAACAGTATTGTCTTCCAATCCATGAACAGGACATAGTTTCCTTTTATATAGACCTTCTTTAATTTCTCATGTTTTGTACTTTTCAGATTATAAATTTTGTACTTCTTTTTAAAGAATTTATTCCTAAGTTTTTTTTTCTTTTTGAAGCTATTGTGAATGGAATTGTTTTTAAATTGCATTTTCAGGTTGCTCATTGCAAGTGTATAGAAATACAATTGATTTTTGTATATATTGATTTTGTATTCTGCAACCTTGCTGAGCTTTTTCATTAGTTCTAGTATTTTTTTTTTTTTTAGTGGATTTGTTAGGATTTTCAGTGATTAATTTCTTAGGAGATGGGGAATGAATCACATTAGTATAAGAGCCTTTACATCCCACTTATTCTGCTCTGTTTGGGCAACAGTCATCTGGAATTACTGCATCAACTGCTTTGGGGTTTCTTCCTCTGGCTCCCATGCTAGCCCAACCCCTTTTCTCACTTTTCTCACTTTTCTCTGCCATTCACAGTATCCCTGGGAACTGTGATTCCTTAAGGCTTGAAACCTGGTGATTAATGGGCTGGGAAATTGTGAATATTTGTTCCTTTGCTGAGTTGTAATGGTTTTTTTAAAAATGATTACTTATCTATGTAATGCAGTATCAATTTGCGCATTTGGTCAGGTTATTGGAGTGACAAAATGTAATTTGATTCTAAAATCCTTGGGAATAATAAGTGCTCTATGACTTTCCTGATGGTAAGTGGCCTGCTTTCTTAATATTAAAACCTAATCTATCTAGTAGTTTGTAGTTGTTATTATATTAAAGGTCAGCATTAATTTAAGGTAAGCTGAGACATAGTAGTCTTTTTCCACACCACTCTACCTGCTCAGGCAGATTGAACAAAGAAAATGACATGTGGGAAATGCAGTTCTTAAAAATTCAGGCCATCTTGTTAAGCTCCCTTAATTTAGCATCATGGAATTTGTTGTGGATAAAATGAACTAGTATATGTTCAGACATAAAAGAAGTTTCATTTTGCTTCCATCCAGAGGCAGTTATTTCATGCATGCTGTCTTTATTATACTTTCCCAAAACCTGTTTCCAAAGTAGATGTGAAACAGAAGGAATATAATTTTTCTGTACCTTCCTAGGAATCGTACATTCCCTAGTGGGTGCTCTGCCTGTATTGTGAGATGAAAACATATTTGTCTGCTACTTTAGTGCATCTGAATTCTGTTAGAAGATGCCAAAAGAGTTATTTATTTAGGTGGATCTCAGGGAATTGGGTGCTCTATAAGAAGATTTATTGCAAATATTCTTAAAGTGTCTTTTTTTATAAGTTTAATTGAATTCTTTGTCCTTAGGATAATATTATAATTGTATCTTCCTTGTATTGCATTCAGTTCATAAGACAGTTTAAATCTGGACTAATTCTAAAACATGAAACAGTGCTCCTTTTAACAACTTCATGACCTATTATTCCAATATTTCAAACACCAATGTTTTCTTTATACTTAAAAAGTATTTTCTTATTTTGTCTCTGAAAACCTCTAAATCTACATACCCAAGCCCCAACTGATAAAAGGTATTTTCTAATCTCATTTTATAAGCTACAGTTCTCTTTAATTGGGCCACAATATGTACAGATTATATATTTTAAGTTACTGGTTAATTTGAGAAATATCATAGCATCTCTAGTAAAGGATAATCTATTAACTGTTTAGTTTTGTTAATTTTCAGTTGATGTAAAGATTGACAGTGTAAAATAATTCTAAAATTGACATATGATATATTTTGACACGTTGTCAGGAACTGTTAAACAAGAGATGCACAGTTTTTAAAATATAACAACTTTAAACCAATTTGAATGCTTTTTGAAATGAACATAATGTTGTAAGTTGACTTGTTACAAGAAGCAAGTATTAGATAGTTTTCAGATAGAGCCAATACTTATCTGTCAGAAATCAGAACACACATACCAGTCGATGCCCTTGCTTCCCCAGATGTAAATGGTTTCAAATGGTTTCTTCCGTAATTTAAAAGAATAGTTTACAGACATATTACACTATTTGAATCAGAAAATCATTAGCCACTTCTCAAAAATATTTTTAAAATTTATTTATTTACTTGTGAGAGAGAGAGAGGAATATCGACTCGTTGTCTCACATATTTATGCATTCATTGGTTGCGTCTTGCATGTGCCCTGACCAAAGAGGGTCAAACCCAAAACCTGGGAGCATCAGGATGATCTAACCAACCGAGCTACCTGGCCAGTGCTTCAAAAATATTTTTAATTTTATTGTTCGAAGAGGTTGAAGAAGATATTGAATTGGTGGACAAAGTCTGTGGGGGAAAATCGCAGTGAATTAAATGAAAAAAAAATTTTTTGCCCCAGTTATAACCTATCAGCAGTTGTCGTCCTGTACCTGCTTGGAGAGCCACTCTTACTGCATGAATAGGAACATAGTAAATAAGTGCATGAGACGCCGAGGATCATTAGACATGGTGGTTTTCTAAAGAGGATTTTACTTTAACTTTTATATGAAAGATCTCTATCTCCCTGTATTTTGCTCAGCTCTTGCAGGCTTGCTGTCATCCCATTCCTTGTGAAAATGTCTGTTTGATATCTAAGTCAGCACTGCCACCTTGTGATATTTTCCTTAATTTCATCCGGCCAAACCCAAATTCCTTCGGTTGGGCACCTCTTGTCTGTAACTTACTGGTTTAGTCTTCCTCACAGCTGCAGGCTTTATCTCCTTGTTTGGGTCAGAGGCTCTTTCAGAGTAGGACCTGCATCTCTCTGGTCTTTATCTCATTAACGGTCTCTCCTCCATAGTCAATATATGTGAATATTTGAGTAGGTAACATGACAGCTGTCCATGACAAGACTCAAAAATTAAATCACTGTCTACTGAAAAGGAATTAAAAATTCACTTTTGTGGTTTCTGTTTCATATCCATAATTTCGGTGCCAGCTTTGCCAAAGAGACTGAAAATTCATTAGATGAGCAATTAGAATGAAATGTCATTTCCCCAGTTCATTATATTTGATGATTGTGTTTTTAAAACACATTTTCATGGTTTCTTTTTTATCTCTTTTATTTTTGCAGCTTTTGTCGTTCCTTCAGGGCTTGTTTACTTTTTACCACGAGGGATATGAACTCGCCCAGGAATTTGCACCATATAAACAACAGCTGCAGTTCAACTTGCAGAATGTAAGACTGTGTACCTGTTCTCGCCGCCTCCTTAGGGAAGCAGACGATCATAGTGCAACTAAGTTATAACCAGGCCAAACCGTGCAGTCTTTCCAAAACCCATCTAAGTACAGTAAAACCTCACTAATTTAGAAAAGCCACATTATTCATTTATTTTAAAGTGTTTTGCTTTTTTACTGCTGGTTGAAAGTACACCAGGAAGGTGCCAATCTTAATGTAAGGAAAATGTATACTAGAAAATGTCACAAAAATAAATACCGCTGAGATATAGACACCTGGAAGTTTGTAAACTTTTGCCTTTACCCAGTGTTCTCGCTACTTAACTGGGTGACCTTAGGTAAGTTTTATTCTCTGAGAGGGCAGGATTTCTGTATTTATGAAGTAAAGGTTGTACTTTGGTGCTTGCATAGAATATATCTGATATTTATTATTTTCAAGAAATAAATTTGAACATATTTCTAAAACCCAGTCTAGTACTCTGTAGCCAAAATAATTTGGAATGATCTCACTTAATTTTCAATAAAAAGTTTGGCTTTCACTGTTTATCTGATTTGTGCCATTGCGAAGATGTCCAATAAATAGAGCTATGGAGTTGTAGGGTCCCATGAGCGATATCTAATTGGATTAGGTTTATTTTACTTGTGCTTTGAGTTTTAGCTTTTTATTTAACCTAGATTTTCTTGCAAAATCGATTTCATATGCAATTCAATCCATTGTTTTTCAATATGGAATGCATTTGGGCTTTTTCAGTAAATATTAAAAGAGAAAATTATTACAGTTAAAGTATTTTTATGATTAATCTCTATATTAAATGTGATTATCTTAAGATTCCTAGGATTTGACAACAGGTAAGGAATAAGAAAAGTTTCTGATCCTTACATTGAAAGAGAAAAGTAGCAAAAATGGCAGTTAAGAAAATTCAGTTCAAACTTGCTGTAACGTGAGTAAACTATTTCTTGCAGTAGAAGTTAGAACTTGGAAACCTATTCATTTTTATGAGTTAATTTATATGCTGACCTCTTGATAACTATGTTAGGACTTCTGGAAATCAAGCTAAGCAGCGATGTTTCTTTAAAAGTGTTTGGAATAAGGGCAATGAACTTTTTTTAAAATAAGTACTACATATATAAAAATATGTGAATTCAGTTTGTTTTTATCTTCCAAAAGAAATATAAGTCCCTGTGTATCTGCTTTTTTACCTTAGGTATTAGTCATTATAAAATTCTGTTTAATAAATATTACATATTTTTAAATGTTAAAGTTGGCCACTAAGTAATAATGTTAGAGTAGGAAATGGGAAGAAATATAACACACACACACACACACACACATACAGTGATTGAGACTGAGAGATTCGAAGAAAAACACAATAGTTTCACTAAAGCCATTTTAAATCAGCTGGAGGGCTCAGCATGTGGGTGAGTAGTGCTGAAAAAATTGAAGTTATCCTTTGTATAATTCACAGTTTTGAAACTTTAGGTTCTAAGTTTCTCAAAACAGGTTGGAAAGAATGAATGACATTGTTATTTTTATTTACTCAAGACAAGGAATAATTTTGAAAGTACTCGACAAGAGGTAGAGCGGCTGATGCAGAGAATGAAGTCGGCCAACCAGGATTACAGGCCACCCAGCCAGTGGGCGATGGAAGGCTACCTTTACGTCCAGGAGAAACGTGAGTCACAGAGGCACAACTTACTGTTTCTTACGGTTAATGTTGGTTAATGTCCTGTTTCCACGAGATGTGACTTGGTTAGTATTTTTTTTCAAGTAGGAAAACTGAAATCCTATACAGTTTATGGTATTTAGTCTGCTCGGCCACTATCACTACCAAAGTGTGGAAGTTTTCCCACATTTCACCATTGGGATCTCTAAGTTGATCTTGGGACTTACAACTTTTTACTGATGATATGGTAACATGAGTTTAGTTTTAGAATTTAATTGTAATATCTAATCTCAATTTAAAGTTTAGTTGGTAATTAAAAATCAAAGCCTTTATCAGGATGGATCATCCTGGTGACTGTGATAATAGTGTTCCATTCCAGCAGCATTATTCCATTGACTTCTGTGTTTTGTCAGTTTTCAGGAGTAAAATTGGCAATTGTGTAATGTCAAATTGGCACCCTTTGCTTCTTGAGGTTAGAAAATAAGCATCAGACCCAACAGAGCACTAATATAATTGCCTCACACTCAGAAAGTTTATCTCACAAAAGTAAAGAAAAAGCCATTCAAAATGGTTTAGCTAGGGTCCTTTCTGCATGATACTTGTATCTAAGTGGAACCAGCCTGACTAAATTAACTCTCTATTTCAGTCCACATATGCCCTAAAGCACCATTCTCATACTCTTTGTGGTGAAGGAACGATTTTTTTGTTTGTTTCCAACCTGTCATAGACCATTGTCTTTGTAAAACACCAAAGCATGCACTTGGATTTTGCAGTGATGTCAAATAGCTGTAAAATATTTGAAATGCTTATTTACACTCTCTGTACTTTTCGCATTTGTTGGGACTCACCAACACCATGAAATGACGTTGCTCTCAGGTCTCCCTGTCAGCAGACAAGAGAGTAATGAAACTGTTTGGGTTAGTAAGAGATCATGGTTAAACGGTTTGGGATGGGGAAGCTGGAGATAATCAGGCCGGCTGGAAAAGTTTTTGACATAGAGCAACATGGTCACTAAAATGCAAACCAGTTTATATTTGACGTGCTCGGGTGATGCTCAGTTGTTGGTTGGTAGTGGACAAGCAAAGACCGATGTGCTCCAACAGACTCGGCAGATGGCAGATGTTTATTGCTACATGGACTAGATGGCAGAGGGCTGCTGGCTCAGGAGATCGGTGTTCGGGGGTTTGCCCTCGCCACTTTCTGCCTTGACAAGTCTTTCCAGATGTCACAGTGCTAACTCTAGTGCCCCTCCCGTGATGATCCCGCAGCAGTGTGTGGCATTCGAGGCTCTCACAGACTCTACCTCTCTTTTTAGCGNTCTAGTGTCCCTCCCGTGATGATCCCGCAGCAGTGTGTGGCATTCGAGGCTCTCACAGACTCTACCTCTCTTTTTAGCATCCCCTGTTTTTACATCATCGCCTTGCTCCCAAAGCACTTTCTATGTCGATTTTCTCTGTACCCCCTGTGTTATTTTTACAGCTTTAGTGAGTTACAATTGACGTAATAAATTGTGCATATTTAAAATGTAGTTTGAAAAGTTGTCCCATAAACGTGCACCAGTGATACCATCACCACCATCAACCTTCAAAAGTGTTCCCAAGCCCCGATAGAATCCCCCCTCCTTTCTTTTCCCACTGACCATCCTCCCTCATTCCCCCCACCTAGGGATTTAAAAAGAAAACTTCATGGATTTATATGCCTTTGGAATTATTTTTACATGAGGGGCAACTATTCAAAGCCCCTTTCCCCTGGGAATCTTTGAAAGCATTTCTTATACAAAAATTTGACCAGCCCACCAAGACATCTTGATTGTGCTGTTGCTATCACTGAAAATAAGTTCCGTGGGGAACAGAAAATGAGATGAAGAAACAGCCTCAGGGTGCTTATTCTGTCGTGGAAGGCAGGACGCAGACTCTCAGCCAGCAACCAATCAGTAGTAACTGTCAGAGCTGTAAGTGGGGTGACCCGCGGGGATGGCCATGGTGGGGCAGTGGCAGATCATTGCAGTTTGGACACAGAGCTCCCCTTTATCTGGAGACGCGGTTTCGACATTACCCACCTCTAGGCACACATTAAATCACATCCTAATAGGATGGAGTGTAACCAGGGAGAGCACGGGTTCCAAAGTCAGACAGAGCTATGCTGGAATTTCATGCCTCCCACCTGTCAACTTGGTGATTCTGGGCAGACAACTTTCTGAGCTCAGTCTCCTCATTTATAGAAGAAGGAGATTTGTACCTATTTGTAATGATGGTGGAAGAATTGGAGAGGCATGTATATAAAATGCCTCTATTATCAGTAGTGGTGCATAGTAATGCTATTCTGCTTCCCATGAGCTCTTACTGTTTGCAATTTACATTTATTTCATTTAATTCTTAAAGCAATTCTTGGGAAATCTTATTGCCTAAAAAGAACAACCCCAATCACATGCCTTATTGATGAAGTAGTACCATCTGCAAATCTTTTTTTTTTTTAAATATGTTTTTATTGATTTCAGAGGGAAGGGAGGGAGAGGGAGAGACAGAAACACCAATGATGAAAGAGAGTCATTGATCGACTGCCTCCCGCACGATCCTGGATCGTACCTGCAACCGAGGCATGTGCCCTGACTGGGAACTGAACGTTGACCTCCTGGTTCATAAGTCAGTGCTCAACCACTGAGCCACGCTGGCCAGGCCCATCTGCAGATCTCATGCTTTGTTTTCTTACATGTAAAATGATACCTATCATGTCTGACTTGAAAAGTTCTTAGGTAAAATTTTGGCACTAGTAGATATTCCATGAATGTTCATTTCCTCCCATTTTGTAAACATCTATTTTTAACAACCTCAGATGATTACTGGGTAAGATAATTAAACTTGTTTTATTTTGCAGCCTTGGAGCTATAATAAATTTTTATTTTCCAAGACTGTTTTTTAAGGACTTCAGAACTGCTGGTCTAGGAACATCTGCCCTGGCCCAGTGCCAGGCAGACCTTAAAGAAAGCAGCACGTGAGTGCAGCAGACTTGAAGATTAAATGCTTGAGATTCCGAATTTATGGTGGAGACAGGAAAAAACAACTGAGATCTGAAATGTCATCAGAGCATTGCGCAGCCTTCAAAATTATGGCTACTATTGCTTCATAAATTGCTAAGTAGTAAAGTCACTATAAGGATTTCCATCCAGCTACTTCCTGCTAATCAGCTCTAAGCCTTTAAGTATTTTACACCACATGTAACAGAATTACCAACAAGTATTAAGTATTATGGTGTAAGATGTTCCCCAAACAGAACTGAAGTTAATTGCAATAATTCTTTGTGATTACAAAGTGTACAGCTGACCCCCATAATTTAAAAATCTGGAGTGGTTTAAGTATTAACACGACGACACCAAGGGCTGTTATCACAGGAAAAAAAATTCAAATGGCTCATGAAACACTTCTTAGGAGGTACACTTTTACATTTACATTTCTTGCTTTTTAAGTATAGTTATGAAAACCAAGGCAGCAATAATGTACGCAATTGTTGCTAGAAAGATCCAGATGTTAAGCAGGATGGGACCCTCAATAGAGAAGCTACATTGAAAACAGGCTTCATTTTCAACCCACTTGGCCACTGTGACATTTGGATATAGGATAATTGGCTTCCCACTGTGAAAACTGCAGGTCACCCACCTTGGTCATGGAAAAATTGAACTCATGATGCATCCCTGCACCCTGGGGAGGCAGCAACATCCCATTCCTTAAGGGGAATATGGGACAGTAACGTCATGTGCTTCGGAAAAGGGTCGCACAGTATTTATGGAGGGAAAAGAGATCATTACACACATAAAACTTTCTTGTACTATAAAAGTGAAATATTTTAATTTTAAGAAGTTATTTGAATTCACTTTTTAAAAAACATTTCTTTATTGCTTTCAGAGCAAGGAAGGGAGAAGGAGAGAGAAATAGAAACATCAGTGATGAGAGTCATTGATCGGCTGCCTCCTGCATGCCCCCGACTGGGGATCGAGCCCGCACCCCGGGCATGTGCCCTGACCGGGAATCGAGCCACAGCCTCCTGGATCCTAGGTTGATGCTGAACCGCTGAGCCACGCTGGCCGGGCTGAATTCACTTTTTTTTTTCAGATTAGTGGTAAAAGGAAATAACTCCAAAGTCAATAGTCTTAGAGAAAGATGAACAATTCATTCCTTCATTTATTTGTCAGGTATTTATTGAGTGACAGCTATATATCTGGCCCTGTTCTAAGGATTAGGAATGTATCAGTCAACTGAACATCATGCTTTCTTGCTCTTAGAGAATTAGTCTAGTGGCAGAGACAATAAATAGGATAAACTAGTAAAGTTTATCATATTTTAGACAGTGATAACTGCTAAGAAGAAAATAGAGCAAGAAAGTAAAGCAAGAAATATCAGGTGAGGGTGCTGATAGGTAAGCTATCTCTACAGGAAAGGCAGTATTGGGAAGGTGATGTTTAGGAAAAGACCTGAAGGAGTGACAGTTCACCTCATGAAGGTATTTGAAGGAAAAGTAGTGCAGGCTGGAGGAACGGCAAGTTTAAACGCCCTGGGGTAGAAATGCCTTCGCTGTGTTCAAGGATCAGCAAGGGGGCCGGCGAAATGTATGAAGCAAAAGGTAGTAAGACGTGAGGTGAGAGCCATCGTGGGGGGGCCTTGTGGATAGTCACAGGCTCTTTGCTGTTTATCTGGATGATACAGGAAACCACTGGAGGGTTTTGCACACAAGGGTGAAATGACCTGGCTACACTTTTAGCAGGTATTTCTGGCAGTTTCAAGAGCAAAGGGCAAGAAGGAGATCAGTGAGAGTAATTGAGACTGTTATTTCTCCTTCCTACTTCTATGGGATATAAGTACCACTTTTACAGCTGAGATTACTGAAGCTCAGATCTAAGGTAACTCTTCAGTTTACAGTGTCAGACCTGCAAGGAAAGCCATGCTGTTCGATTCCGAGACTCCACCCTGTACCACTCTCCCTCCATACTTGCCCTTCGCACTCTCATTCAGTAAATGTTTCACTTATATAGTCTGTGGAAATATTCAGTTGTGTATCATAACATCAAACACTGTGCAAACTCAGATACCAGTCATTTATTAATCTGTACTGTTTGTTTCCTTCCATTAGGACCACTTGGTTTTACATGGATTAAACATTATTGTACATATGATAAGGGAAGTAAAACATTCACAATGAGTGTTTCAGAAATGAAATCCAGTGGGAAAATGGTGAGTTTTTGTTTTTATTTTTAACTGAGGTTATTTAAGAAACGGAAGTAAAACAAAACAAAACGAAAATATCAGTTGCTTTTCTAATAAGTGTGTACACAAGTTTTAAAAATTGAAAAGCCAAAAAAGTTTCTCTCACTTTCGTGGCCTTGATGACTTAAAAAGAGTGGCCCGGATTTTCTTTTACTGTGGCCATGTGTGTTTATAAGCAGTTGAATTAAAGATAGGGACCCTGAGGTGTCATCGCATAACCTTGGGAGCAGATTTGTTACAGTGCTGTAGCTTGGCCAGTAGCCCAGGAGGGACTGTGCGTGGCTGGCCCAGGCCCAGGGATTTTGCACCTTTCCCCCAGGTGATCTCTGGGGGAGCTGCCCTTGCCCCCACAAGCCTTTCATCTTCTGCGCTGTATGCTGTTTATGGAAATGCTGGCCAGCACAGTTTCTCAGAAGAAGTTGATCAATGCTCATTTCCCCCCCAAAGTAAATTGGCCACTGAATGTCTCGCATGGCTAGTGAACATTATGGAACATAGTGTACTTTAAAGATTGTTTAGTCTCGCCTTATTTTAACAGATTAGAAAATCCACATGGTAGAAAGTAAGTGACTCACCCAGTTAATTTGTGGTATAGATCACAGCAGGTAAATATTGATCCTTGACACATACTCAAATACATCAGTAGAAACTTATTGTGCTTGGGCATTCATTAGAGTCTAATAATTCAAATGGAGTGACATAAACTAAAAGACAGCATACCAGAGAAAAAGAAACCTAAGATTGCTACCATCGTGAGAAGGCATTAAATGCTGTAATCACGCCTAGTTTCTACTTGGAAGGTTTCATAAGAAAATATATTGCCAGAAAGTCAGCTTATGTGACAGTCAGTGAGCTGATATCAGACAGACCCAGCCAAAGTTCTGCTAATAAATCTATGATATTTTCAATAGACAAAAGAATTAATCAAACATTAGGCAAACATTCCCTTCAGATACAGAAGAAAATTCTTATTTATTGAGCCTATGTTGGATCCTGTCCAAAGAGTTAGCAGTTGGTTACCAATGTATGATAGCAGTAGCATCATAGCAACTGTATATTAGAACTTTTTTATTTTGGTAGCTCTTTTGAGGCTTCAGACAGCTTTCATTTAATACTGGAAGGCTCTGATACAAACACACACACACACACACACACACACACACACACACACACTACTAATATCTTAGCAATCTAGAAAATTTTGATTCAGAGCAACAGTGTGGTATCCTGACAAACATTCTGGCTATCTAGTTGGGACATTACTATAACTCTTATTTCATACCTTTGCTAAATCTGAAGTCCTAAGGCATATATATTAGAGTATAAGCTGACATTATAAATAAACATGTTGACGTGTACTAGAAAGGCATGTCACAGAATCCTTTGAATGAAACACATACACGCAATGAATTTATTAATGAACATTTTGGTATATTATAATTAGGCAATTAACATTGGGCAAAAAGTGTTGTTTATGGGACAGGGTGTGACTATGACCTTGATACGTAACCTGTACTCTTAAGTTTATACTTCAGTGCCGCACTTTCCGATGGAAGATTTGGTATTTTCCAGTTCACCTTGTCATCATGTCAACATGTCATCCCCTTCTTGTTTCAGAACGGCCTTGTCACCAGCTCACCAGAAATGTTTAAATTAAAATCTTGTATCCGAAGAAAGACAGATTCAATTGACAAGCGATTCTGCTTTGACATAGAAGTCGTCGAAAGGTGTGCGCTTTTCTTTTTATTTTATATTTAGTTGTTTCTGTGTTTAAATATAAATATGAAGCAGCACCCAAGTGCTTGTTTTACAATCTCTTTTTGAAAATGGTGTGCTTGTTTAGTTCATTCTTTTACATATTCATTCGACAAGTACATATTGCATGATGCTTTAAAAAAATAAATCAGGCACAGAATGCTAGCAAAAGGTGACATCACTCAAAGAAGAATCTGGAAAATCAGTATAAGTGACAGCATTAGGGAAAGTGCATGCTGTGGACTTGGGGTCCACATCACAGTGAAGGGGCCTGACAGCTTGCTCGTGGCTCCTGGGTCAGCCCGTTTGTGGACTTCTGTGAAGCCTGGGGACCTTGCTTCCAAGGAATAGTAAGACACAGCTGGGAATTCCTAAGCTCCTTCAACCAGTGAAATGCAGTGTGTACCCTGTGCAAAGCACTGCCTTGGACATTCTTAGCCACAGGATATTTATTGGGAGAGACATAAATGTTGTGCATCTAAGTTTATGATCTAGTGAGGATACTTAGCTCTGCTCCTCATATCAATATAAGCAGAGCAGAAACAAAATGAGAAGGCGTGTGCTTCTTGATTTTTTGTCTATTCCATAATCTATTTTTCTCCCCCCCCCCATTACTACCATATTTTCTCAATACTCTAGCTTTGTGTGGGGGCTCTATATATATACTATGGCTTTTAACTATCTAATAGGGGAAGGCCCCCATTCTTATGCTTCTTTAAGATTGTGTTACCTATTTTGGCCCTGTATCCTTATATGTTATGGATCTGCTTATTAAGTTTCTCTTCCTCTTAAAAAAAATCCCTTGAGAATTTTGACTGGAATTAAATTTGTTAAATAACTGATGGATAATTGAATTCCCCTTGAAGATTACATATCTTTTTTTTTTTTAAGATTTATTCTTGGGTATTTTTTTTATTACAGTTTTGAATAGAATTCTTTTCATTAGTAGAAACTTTTTTTCTAAATGGTTGAGACTACTGTATAGAAAGGCTATTATTTACACACACACACACACACACGCACGCACGCACGCACGCGCACACACATCCAGCACAGTTGTTGAACTTCTTATTGGTTTTAATAGTTTTGTGGTCGGAATTTCTTGATTTCCAATGTAGACAAGCACCAACATGTTAGTGATTTCTCTTTCATTCATTTATTTTTATTTCTGCCTTTTCTAGTTATATGACCTTGGGACACATTGCTAAACTATTCTTTTTTTTTTAATAACCATATATATTTTTAATATTGTGTTTTTCCTCCTGTATACATTTTTTTTTTAAGTTTCTTTGTCTTTATTGTTGAAAATATTCCAGATGTCCTCTTTTTATCCCCATTGATCCCCTCCACCCTGTATCCACCCCACCCCCAGTCTNCTGTCTCTTATACACATCTAGATGTGTATAAGAGACAGCTTTTTATCCCCACTGATCCCCTCCACCCTGTATCCACCCCACCCCCAGTCTTTCCCCAGACCAGTGTCTGTGTCCATGGGTTATGCTTATAAACATATAAGTTCTTTGATTAACCTCTCCCCACCCACTCTCCCCTCCCACCTTCCCTCTGAGATCCCTCAGCCTGTTCCATGCTTCTATGTCTCTGAATCCATTTTGTTCATCACTTTATTTTGTTTATTAGATTCCACATATGAGTGAGATCATGTGGTATTGTCTTTCTCCGACTGGCTTATTTCACTTATCATAATACTCTCTAGTTCCCTCCATGCTGTGCCAAAGGATAAAAGATCCTTCATCTTTACAGCTGCATAGTATTCCATGGTGTAAATGTGCCACAGCTTTTTCATCCACTCATCTACTGATGGGCACTTGGGCTGTTTCCAGATCTTAGCTGTTGTAAATTGTGCTGCTGTGAACATAGGGGTGCATAAGTTCTTTGTGATTGGTGTTTCAGGTTTCTTAGGATATATTCCTAGAAGTGGAATCACTGGGTCATAAGGCAGTTTCATTTTTAATTGTTTGAGGCACCTCCATACTGTTTCCCATGGTGGCTGCACCAGTCTGCATTCCCACCAGCAGTGCACCAGGCCTCCCCTTTCTCCACACCCTCGCCAGCACTTGTAGTTTGTTGATTTGTTGATGGTGCCGTTCTGACAGGTGTGAAGTGATACCTCATTGTGGTTTTAATTTGCATCTCTCTGATGATTAGCGACTTTGAGCATTTTTTCATATGTCTCTTGGCCATCCGTATGTCCTGTTTGGACAAGTGTCTATTTAGGTCCTTTGTCTATTTTTTAATTGGATTGTTTGTCTTCCTCTTGTTGAGTTGTATGAGTTCCTTATATATTTTGGATATTAATCCTTTATCCAATGTGTCATTGGCAAATATGTTCTCCCATACAGTGGGCTCCCTTTTTGTTCTGTTGATAGTTTATTTTGCTGTGCAGAAGCTTTTTATTTAGTGGTCTCATTTGTCAAACTATTCTTTAGTGGTCTTGTTTGTCAAATAAGGATAGTAAGTACCCACCTCAAAGGAAACAGCACAGTGCCTGGCACATAACAAACAGGCAGCAAATATTGATTGTTGTTACTTTATTATTGGGGTTTTGTTGTTACACTGGCTCAAAGATAAAATTACCTTGATTTTTATATGTGTATTTCCTTTTCCTATCTGTGTAAGGATCTGTTTTCCTTTCTATAGAAGAGATGCATGCCTTTTTCACAGTTTTAAGTCATTCCAGGTTCATAAACACAATATTTAAATGAAATTTCCTTCTTCATGTACCTCCTCACAGAGCCCTCTAATTTCCTGTTTGAATTTATTTTCTGAACAGCCTGCACTGTTAGCTAGGTTAATTCCACTCTTGTTTGGATTTCATACCCTTTTCTCTGTTATGTTGGTTTCCCCCCTCCCTTTGCTTGCTCTTTCTCTCTTGAAGTACATCCTCGAGTAACTTTTTCAGAATGAGTGCGTGGGGGATCATCATTTTTAAATGGAATAATTTTAATGTTGTGATTGGGTGAATGTAGCTAGCATCCTTTTTGGTCATTTTGGGGGAAATAATTTGAAACTACCTCCTTCAGTCAGTCTTGTACCTAGAACACTAAGTGATTTCACTACCTGTGATCATCAGAATTAAAAAGAGTTGTGTGTGTGTTGGATGTTGGCATCTACAGTGATTTTTCTGAAAGATACCTGTAGGTCAATATTTTTTCTTTTTTTTTTTGTTTTTTCTTCTCTTTCCTATCTTTTTCTTTTCTCTCTTTTCTGTTTCTTTTTTTCTCTTTCCCTGTTTTTCTTAAAATTTTACCTTTATAGCTAAATGAGAATTTTAAAAATTAAAAATGTGTAAACGTGTAACAGGAGTAAATTGGATATATATACTGTTTGTTTTTATTAGGCATGGGATCATCACATTGCAGGCCTTCTCAGAAGCTAATCGGAAACTCTGGCTTGAAGCCATGGATGGCAAAGAACCAGTAAGAATATAATACATTTTATTTAGATTTTATTGTTCTAGTAATTACAAAGTATATCTGGGAGAAAAAAAAAGTACATCTGAATTTTTAATTATCTGTAGTGTATTTGCAAATATTTAAATAGCAAATCAGAGGAGTAGAAACTTAATATTTCCCTTGTTGTCTCTATCGCTGACACATAACACCTACTTTGTAACTTGTTTGTCAGGAGGACTTTTGGGACTAATTTAAAACCCTAAAATTATTTTTTAATTACTTATGATCACATTAATTTGGCTGCACTGATTGGATTATTCTGCTCAGTTAATACTTATTGAATGCCCAGTCTTTGCAAGACACGTGCTAGGTTTGTAATCAGTGTGACAGACGAGGTTCAGGGTAAGATCTAATTCTTATTTGATAAAACTGCCTGTGAGTTGACATTTTCCTCTCATTCATATCCTTAATTTTCTAATAGTTATTTTGATGTTGGCCTGATAACTTAAAATTATTAGGGAAGCTTATGTAAAAGGGAATAAATTATTAATCTTTTTTATGAAGAACATGGCATTAGATGGTTAGGGGGATGAGCACACAGCAAATATGAGGCCACATTCTGTCCCTTGAGAACTGTCCTGTAGATGGCAAAGAACCTGGGAACAACCTTGTGCCAGTCACCTGTGTAACAACTGAGCTACAAAGTGCGGTCTGCAGACTTCGAGACCATCCCTCATATGGTTTCTGGTCCACGATAAGAGGAGTGAAGAAATTATGATTAAGCATCTGGAAAATTTTGTAGCAATTTGAAGAAGTCATTTTATATTTGTTCAACTTACTACAAAACTTGGATTTTGCATGTATTCTTTATTACGTTTATGATATTTTAATTTTATTGTAATTTACAAAAGTAGCTGTCAATGACAGACTGAAAATTAAACAAAAGAACTGGACTTTTCACCACTAATTGAGAAGTAAGGCCTGACCAAGAGTAGATTTAGAAGATGGTGTGGTATCTCAGCAAGTGCAAGTTAAGATTGTACACGCTGAGAATACACTAAGCAGGCCATTTGAGTCAGGAGCAATCAGGTGAAATCCATTGTGAGATGCTTTTTCAAGAAGGGCTATTATGCATAAATCAGATGGAAAGAGGTAGAATTCTACCCAGGGCAGGACAGCCAGGGATGGAAAGGAACAGGGTTACAGGGCGGGGAGAGGGCGTGTGGATGCAGCAGTTGTAGGACCTTGAAATCAAGAAACTCCCTCTGTGTATCATTGCACCAGTATCACCCTGCTAATCGTCTGTACTGGGTCATTCACTGCTAACTGATTGACTTCCCTTGTTTTTTAGATTTATACCCTGCCTGCCATTATGAGCAAGAAAGAAGAAAGTAAGTTGTTTTAATAAGTATTTTAAATTGTATCACACAGTTATTTTTAATCACCAGGCTATTATGTGATATTAAGAGTTAACTCTAGGAAAATGATAACACACCATTGACCGGATAGTGCATAAAATGTGAAATTTTTATTCAAAGAAGTGTCTCATGTTAAAACCACTAATTACTGACATTATATAGAGTGAACAAAATTAAGTTTTCTTTCTTTGGTGTTTACTTATAGGTATATACCTTACTTTATCCCTGAAAGAGGTTTGAGGCAGTTGATATTTAGTTTGTTTATTTTTGTTGTTTTTAAATGGCAGTAGAGGGCTTCTTTATCTTATTTTCCTTGCTCCAATTTACAAGACTGATGACTTGAATACTTTGCGCTGGTTTTAGGAGGTTGTGCCCAAGAATGGGAAATGTAAGGACATTGTCATAACACATGGGATATGTAGGAACACACGTTATCACTGTATTATTACTGAATCCTTAGCATCAAACCATTCTTAATAAATACATTGTATGTGTTTTTTATTACATTCTAACTATTCTTTTATTATATTCCACCTCTTGCTACCCTTTACCCTTGGTTGTTTTAGTATATTTTCATATGTAGTTTATGCCATTAGGTTATTTGACATTTAAAACTAGTTTGTATATTTATTTCTAAGGTTGTGCTTATATATTTTAAAGCAATTTCAAGTTTTATTTAATTCAATTGACTTTCTCTCAGTATGTCTAAATTTATTTTTAAAACAGACTTAATAACCTTGACTTGAAATTGCTGTTAAAATTCAAGTTAGAGTGGAGTATAAATCAAAACAGGGAAAGCATTCATTTGGAAGTCATAAATATTGAGTGTATGAAAAAGCATATCATTTTAACTGAATGAAATTCTTGCTACTAATCAATTTCAAAAAAAATTTATCAAAAGAAAGTACATGGTTTAAAATACCTTTAATATTAAAGATTTAAAAAAATACTTCAAGTGTATATTCTTACATTTCTTTCTTTATTGCTAATCAAGGAAAGTGATTAGTATAGAATCTTTCATGACCCATTTGTATCTAATCACAGAAACATTAACCAATGGATTAAGAGTTTTGTAAGTACTGAATGTTAATTCTAAACAATTACCTAAAAAGTAATCTCTTGTTATACTTGGCATGTTAGTGGAGTTTGAAATGTGTTTTCTGACACCCCTTTCATTGCATATTCATTATAAAGACAGTCCTTTCAAATTCAGTTGACCTACTCAAGGATGAATCCTTAGAAAACAACTGAACCTATATATGGTATTGAATAAGGCCTTGGAATGGGACGTGGGCAGTATTTGCTACTTAAGGCACCTCTGGAACTAGGGTTTCTATCATAACTAGGAAATTTAAATAAGAACGTTATCAGCCCTGCTGGTATGGCTTAGTGGTTAGAGCATAGGATTAAGGTCAAGGGCACATACCTGGGTTGCAGGTTCCATGCCCAGCTGAGGCCAGGTTGGATGCATGCAGGAGGCAACCAATTGATGTGTCTCTCTCACGTTGATGTGTCTCTCTGTCTCTCTCCCCTCTCCTCCCTCCTTTTCAGTCTCTCTAAAAATTAATGGAAAAGATATCCTCCAGTGAGGATTAACCCCCCCCCCAAAATTATTAAACATATTCATGCTCTTATGGAGGGAGAAGGTACCTCTTCATGCCATGAAAGCTTTCCCTTCTGGAAATCAGCTTTTCTGTAGTCTCAGCCACCTGAAACATCACTATGCCAGCATTTGTAATTATAAAACTGTGTGTCCTGGAGTCCATGTGTTGTATTATTTCCTACATTCTGGCTTTTGGTATGATGTATTAGTTTCCTACCCAGTGCTCTGAGCTTATTGTGGCAGAACCCTCTTCTCCTTAGTGTACTCAATATAGGCCATCAGTGGGATGTGTGCTCAGCACATAATTGCTGTTATTCTTCCTCTTGGTGCCAGTAGACTTTTATTGCCAAGCGGAGATTTTGATTATAGAAAGGAATATTACAGTTCCCTTTGCTTTATTAATATGTACAGCTCAAAGTTATAAATCTTAACCCTAATCATAAGCTTTATTTTTATTATTTTATCTTAAGCTATATTTTTTCTTTAAGCCTGTTTTTAATCAACATACAGATCTTAGTTTATTTTTAAACATACTAGCTTTAAAAAATAAGTCATTTTTAGTTTATTTTTAAAAAAGTTTAATAGAATTCAAATGTGGTCAACCAAGTTTCTTTAGCTCAAGCTATAATTACAAAACAAGTAAATTTCATTCTCTGAATGCAAGACTAATAAGACAAATTTGTGATTCTGGTTAATCTTCCTAAACACCTGGCAACTTTTGTAATCTAGTAAATTGGTTGATAAATGCAGAGATTAATATTCTTTTAAACACTCTAAGTAAATCACACACAGAATTATGTAGTGATTTTAAAATGTTGTACTACATGACAGAAAGCCAACTTATTCAAAATTGCACTTGTTTTTAGTTGTTCTTACACATTTTTAGAGATTCAAATTTCCTCACCCAGACAAAATCACCAGCACTCATTTGAAAAGTCAGGACTATGGCATATGCCACCAATTAAAGACACTCAGACTAATGGAGGCACAGGATTGAATGTGCCTTCTAGAGCCAAGGTTCCTGTAGTTGGAATGGACTTTCGGGGATTGCCAGCTTTTATGAGCAAGGCTTTCTAAGCATTTCTCAATCCAGCAAGCAATGAAGAACCTTTCCCTAATTTGACCTGCCTCTCAGACTGCTTAAAGGGCTTTCCAGGTCCTAAGAATTTAATTGCTTTTGCAGGTAATTGTGAACAGTCTGCTACATGAAGGCCTAACAGTTATTACTGGCGCTGTGAACCTCTTGCTCAGACTGCAATTTCACTCCTTTTCTCTTTTATCGTGTGTCTTACCATGGTTACTATTTTTCTAGGGTTGTAATGACTCATAGGATATATCTGAACACTCGGCAATATTCCAGATTCAAGCACATGGTCCTGTTAAATTAAGAGCAGCATCATGTTTTCTTCCTAGCAACATGTCCAGAATTGTATTTGTTTCAGTTCAAAATTATATTCTGGTGATGGTGAGGTTCTCAGACCTCTTTCTTAAGTCTTGAATAAATCATGCAAGGTCATCATGCCGTGAGTTCAGAGCAGCTTATATCTTTCTGCCCGCCCCTTCCACACACCATTTCGCACACACTCATCCTGCTTATTGAGATCTCCCTTTCCCTTTTTCACCTTTGACTCCCCTCAGAAGTGGCATCATGTCAAGTTCAGTATGTAACTTCTCTTGCAATTGATATTTATAACCAGACCGGCTTTGATTCATTTGCCACCTTGAGAAGTGCTTTTCTGTAGCCTTGTCATTCAGATGGATTCTGTTCATCTTAAAATAATCTTGTTTTTCCTTTGGAGACTCAGTTTGGCATGGAATGTATGTTTTGAACTGCTGGAGACAATAATGAAGCTTAAAATGGTAAAATATAAAACTCAGGTAAAAATTTGTTTTGCGTGTCAGCCATTAAAAGTTGCCAAATGTCTGTGCTGAAAACCCTAAAAGCAACAGAGTAAGAACTGTCTAGTGTCCTGAAATAGGGCCATACTGTGATTATCCAGAGAACATATACCATGAAATGAAGAATAAAACTATGCTGTGACCCTAGAGGAATGAGTCTCTCTTTACAGGCCTAACATGGAAAAACCTCTCTACTTTGTGGTTACTCTTAATTTACTGTTTTCAGAGTAAAGATGCCATAAAAAACGTGTGTAGTTTAATAGAGAAGGAAAGTTGGACTCATCTTAATGAAAAATGCATGAAGTAACAAAAATGAATATTGGTCAGTTATAGGATATCTGATCCACAGACACTTCTGGTTGTAAAATATGTCACCGTGTCCTTGTCTTGGAATTGTAAGACTTTGAGGATTGATTCATTTTGAGAATAGTAATGCCTGTCATCAATATTAAACAGATGATACTCGATTACGGTGAGAGCTAAACTGTTCCTCAGTCCATGCCATTGGGGATATTGTGTTAAAGGACAGCTTACTAATAGTTCATTATTCTGTATTTGAGATTATTCTTTCAAAAAAACAAATAAGCATTGTTGACACACCTTTCTGTCCCAATACTTCCATCTTGGGACTAATTGTTAACAGGGACTAGAGCAGTTGTCATTTTTTTGTAGTCTTTCTCTCCTTGGCTTTCTGCGTTGGAGGGTGCCCTGAGCCTTGTCCCCCCTCGAACATAAGTTCAATGTGTTGGCTTTTTGGCTGGTCTTTCTACGCTAGGTTTGGAGAAAGTGAGAATTGTGAAAGAAAAGGTTCTCATTGTCTCAACAAGTCAGTTCAACAATATTCCATTGTGTGCCTATTTTTTTCATGGTATTGCAAATAGGAAAAAAAGAAATCCTTTCAAATGGAGTGTCTGCCAATAAAAGTCATAATAAAAGTGTAATGACAGTCACCTAACATTCAGCCCTCATGTACAAAATCGAAGGGATTGGACCAGAAGACACTTTGAGAATTTCCCAACAGCTCTAAACGTCTGTCACTGTGTGTTTGGGTGACTGTCCGTGTGCACCTAGGGAGTGTATCCCCCCAGCAAAAAAACAGAAAGATTCAGCGTGTTCTTCATGCCCTAGGCAATGGACGTCCCTCAGGAATGCTTTAGAGCTTCATACTGCTGATTGGATAGTTTAGTTCTGGAAGTTCTCAGACGTCCCTTGGTTCTCCCCCAGGCCCCTGGTCACATACATCACCAGAGACCCGGGAAGGGGGTCAGAGCACAGGGGCTCTTCAGGAGCAGAGCCAGGAAGGGGGAGCAGCCTGGGCGAGGGCCGGGGAGAGGTCCCTGCTCGTCCGTCAGGCAGAAGAGAAGGGGTCCTGTGGTTATCACAGACTCCAGTAAATGCACTCACTTCTCTCTCCTGTTTCTTTTGAGCCACATTGTGGTCTGGTTGTCTGTGACGAGGGCCTTTTAATCTG